TTAATTTGGGCTGAACGAACAGGAAACTCAAAAATTCATTTGGAAGCTATAGAGTTTAGCTGCCTTTCTTTGCGGCTGCGGGACACAACAACTATGCAAAATGTGCTAGGGTATATCTACAGCAAATAAGACAAGTGGAAAAAAATCATAAAGATGTTTATAGTTTGTTAAGTGCTGATCATTTCACTGTTCGTAGACACACTAGATTATGAGCTTGAATATGGACAGATATGTTTAATGAACAAACGTTAATGCGAACAACAAAAAGTCGAAGTGAGTTAATACGCGGAAGGAGCATGGGTGAAAGTCAACGAGCTACATGAATATTGAGCCACTCTGCATGTTGTGAAGTTATTGCTGCTATGAGCGATCTAACTGACGTCTTCCGTATTAGCAGTGAACAACATTGAAATATCCGATTCTAAGACATCTAGAGATATGAAAGACTTTCTTACATTACTTCAATTTTTGCAAGATCACAACCCATTTGATTCAGAATGCCTTCCGCTACGTAATATTTTCAGTGGATTACTAGACAGTCAACACAAGGTAACTGCAGATGATGCTAAGTTATTTGGACTTCAAATCCAATCCAAACTTACTGGAAACGCTTTTACCTATGTTACCATAGTTAAAAAGGATCAAGCTGTAATATTCCGAGAAAATAGACCCATAAATCACAATGTCTTTACTGTAAAAATTTAATAAATGTCAAATAATCAAAAACAGAATTTCCGGTATCTCCAAATCAGTATCAATAAATTGAAAAGGGAACAAATTAACGTTTAATATTATATTAGGTGTTTCGTCATCAAGCTTGTGTCATCTCCTAAATCAATGAACTTAAAAGAGCGAGGCCAAGTAATTATAAATGATTTATCGAATTCTTAAACCAATAATGTTTTGACCTCGATAAATCAGGATATTGCGACATAATTATTCGATTTTTTTAACTTAAAATGATAAAAATTTCAAGGAAATTGCATCATTATTTTTAATAATATTTAGGTCGGCCAATGGAATTGTCTGATTGAGAGTCAAACGACCGCCTATTGACGATTTGGGGGATAATTAATAATACTTTGCGTGGGGATCGATTTAATATAAATACCGCGGTTTCAGTTGTTAGTTGTCAGTTGAGAGATGAGTTCGCAGTCCTGTCCAGTTTGAGTTAAAACTACAGTACCTAAAGTGTCAGTCCGGAAACTTTCTTGTATTGCCTCGGTAACAGTCTTTGAAAAAGTAGCGGAAAAATTTTGAAAGAAAGATTAATTAAATTCGTCAACACTTATGTGCGTGCTAGCTAAAAACTTTGAGTAATTAATTAGGTAATTTTACGTGTGCAAATTAAAATGTAAGTACTTTAGTGTTTAATAATTTTCTGACTTTTATCAATGATTCTGAATGATAAGTGAATTAACAATGACTTTTACTGCCTAAAAACTTGAGTGATTTTTACTAGAAAAACTTTTGACTTTATAATTAATTGTGGAACTTTATTGCATAAATATCAATAACTCGAGTATTTTGAAAATGGAACATTATTGCATAACTTTAATTGCCTTCAGATATATTGACATTCTAATTTAATTTTGCACCAAAAATATGAAGGGAATTTATAATGCACTTACCAATATACAATTTTGACTTTTTTGAGTAGGGATTATGAATTAAACAGTTGGGTTTATTAGCTAGGCATAGGAATCCGAAAATAGAATTTGTTCTGATAAACTATTAACTGCAATAGGAAATTTTGAAAAAAAAAACTTGATGTTCATGAAATAGAATTGTTGTTTTTAAAATAATTGAAAGTTCTTAAAAGGAAACTTATAATAGAATTTGTTCTGATTAAATAAACTATTGAATTTAATAGGAAATTTTGAAAAGGAAAATTATTGTTCATGAAATGAATTTTGAATTAGGATTTTCATTTTTCAAGTAGAAATTATTGTAAGGTTTTATAAGAATAAGTTAGTAATACCTATATTGATAAACAAATAGGTAATTATTTTGGGTTTTCATAAGCCGTCAGTAAAGAACTTAGAAATTTTAAAGAATTTATATAAATAGGTGAAGGGTAGTTAATACGAATGAATCGGAAGTGTTGAAATGAGTTAACTTATAAGTTATTAGGAATAGTAGGAATAGGGCGTTTCTTTATTTAGTAGGGATATTTCAGTGGTCCGTAATAATAACAATTTTAGAACGGATGTGAAGTAATTGAATTTATAGAAATAGATGAGGCTGTCAGAATTGAAAGATATTTGGCTAATTAAAAATTTTGAGATTTATGTATAATAAAATATACTTTAGTACACCTCAATAGTTTGTTTCTCTCTCTTGCAAATAGACCCACAGATTTTAGGTAGCAGCTCCAAGTAATTAAACACCATCAATATACCGCTCGCCATTTACCATCTAACTAATTACATAGAGTACTTGGGGCGTTTTGCTAGAAAGCTGTCACAATGAAGATACTAAAAAAAAGGTATTGTTATTGACGGAGCTGTTCAGCATATTGACACAAGACTCCTCACTCAGAGAATGCTGGTGTGTTTGTCTCTTAATCCTGATCTGCAAAAATTAAAGGAGAACTTCAATTATGAACTATCTATAATTCCTCCATCGCTTTTTGATCCAGACACTCAGTTATTAACAAATCATCATTGGCAAGAGCTTTGGATGACTTACAACCTAGTTTAACTTACAAGTTTCCTGCAGAAATATGTTATGTTCTTGACGATGGTGCACTATTACACAAATTGTCATGGCCAAAAACTGGCAAATTTTCCAGATGTGTTACAACTATTGTGCTAACCAATATAAAGTTGTAACAGTTGTATTTGATGACCACCTCCAGTACAAAGGATGTTGAGCATCAGATACGCAAAAAACAATACTCGGTAACGGTGAAATTTATCAAGAGTTCTCCACTTCTTATCGGCAAAGGACCTTTTCTTTCTAATAATGAAAATAAACAGTGCTTAATAACTATGCTTGGGAAACAGAAGCCAATGGTCATACTGTGATTCATGCTACAGATGGCTGACACACTTATTGTCAGAACAGCACTGACCTTGGCAGAAAAAAAACACGTAACAGTTGTTGCTGACGACACCGATATTCTGGTAATTTCAATTTACCATAACACACGAAATATTTGGTTGCAATCATCTATGTTCAGTGATAAAAAACGTGATATTAAATCGCTGCAACATGTGCTTGGTGAAAAGGGGTGCAAAATAATTATCTTTTCCCATGCTTTAACCGGATCCGATACCACACGCTCCTTAGTTGGGAAAAGTAAATCGACAGCATATCGACATTTTTGGAAATGTGAAGAATTTAGCATTTGCACTACCTTATTTGGATCAGAAAATGCAAACAGAAAGGAACTCATAGACATTGGCACCAAAGCATTGGTATCGTTGTACGGTAGAAATCCAAAGACAGAGACTTTAAATCTACTATGATATAATCTTCAGTCGAAAAAAATCACAGCTGCCAAGAGTGAATTCAATATTGCAAGATTGCCACCAACTGAAGATGCTGCTGTTCAGCACCTTCTTCGTGTACATTTACAATGTCTTTATTGGAGAACCATGAAATCCAATATTGCCAACTCCGAAGAGTGGGGTTGGAAGAAAGTAGGAGACTAGCTACAGCCCTGCACCAGAGTTATTATAGTTTATCTATTCTCAATTGAACCACCACAAAAAATAAATCTCCATTAACAGTCGGCGTTTTCTTTATGAAGCATAGGCGGCGAGGTTTCCAAAAATGTTTCATAATAAATAATAAATCAATATAATTTAGATATTATTCTACGTAAAATTCAATTTATATTTATTATTCATTTGAGATATTTTAGAATACATATGCCCTAGTGCCATTTAGGAGAAATTTTTTTTAAATTTTAAACAATTATTTCATAAAAATATACACACGTATAAACCTGTCTCCGCCTCTGACAAAAAAAAACAAACTACTGTGAAAGTACACCGGCGACGCCGCGCCGTCGCGTCACGTCGCATCGCCCAGGCAAATAAACATGAAGAAATCTTTTCGAAATTTCGTTCCGACAACCAGTATTTTATTTTGCCGATTGTAGTTTCTAGTAGGGAATATTCAAAACATTTATATAGGTTTTTTGAGTCAATGTGCCTAATATTTGATCGTACCTTATACATAGCTTGAAAATAAAGTGGTTCAATTTAGAATAGATAAACTATACAAAACACAATTCGCTGCACCTGAGAAACGGATACAAATGAGCTGTGTGGTAGTGCTAGAAGTAGGTACTTGTAGACGGTATGGTGGGGAATGTACTGAGATATGCTGTAACTGTTCTGGTAGCGATTGTACAAATAATGTCTTGAAAGAAAGTGTTGATAATTTTTGTATTTTTTCATACCGTCTTTTGATTATTAAAAAACAATTTCCTGGCTTATGCTTTCAGTTTTTCGCCCACTACTCTGTAATTTATTTAGATTATTATCATAATCTTGTTCAGCATGAAATTTCTCGTTATTTGATACCACACACGATTTTCTAGAAAAATTTTTTGAAAAAAATTTATAGTGGCAGCCAAAAAACGCATTTTGCATACTCACATTTTTCTAGACTTTCAGTATGTTGAAAGAATAGGAGTAATGAATTGTTTGTGGGAATTAGTTCTACCTCTGGCAATTTTTTTGCGTACATCTACTGTACTAAATAGATACACTCTCTATCCGCTCCGGTGCTGGCGTCTAGCTCTGGAATGGCACGAGTATTCACACCATTGAGGTTCACACGGTGCCAGTGCTGAAACGCTAGTGAGGCTGAAGCCAGCTACTGGATACGTGTAAATCGGCCTTACGATTATGTGATGGAGTTGTTTAAAAGGATCATACATCGCCCCCGAAAGCATCTGAATATATTGTGCAGCTGATCACCTTCGATTAATGACTACAGCAAACTAGGTTATGTACAATCAAGTCTCTTAAATGAAGCACAATGAAAAATCTAAGTATATTTTTCAGCAATTTTCACTATAAAAAACCACACAAATTTTAATTTAAATGTTGCTGTTCACTTTTTGCTTCTGCTGTGACTTCTTCCCCTACGTGTGCTGTGACTTCTTCCCTTACGTCCTCTGCGACGTCTACGGTGTGCTCTACGGCGTCGGCGGCGCCTTCTTCTAGCTTCCATTATCAAACTTGTCACGGTTTGCGGTTTTCGATAATTATTTGATGTTCTGTAATAAAACATTTGATGTATAAAAATTAATAAGCATATGAAATCACCTACCTTTGTCCAATTCCACTAGACAAAGCCTTTTCAAGATCATTGTTCAGTCTAGCTAGCTTCTGCGGGGCATTGGGGTATTCCTCTCTGATATATTGCTGGACATTTTTTAGGGTAATTTTTTTGGAAGCGCCAATCTTCTTTAGAGTAGAAACAACTCGCTGAGCCAATTTCCTGGTAACTTCTTTGGATATATCTTCGTCCTTTTTCACATACGAAGGCATTGTTCTTTTCAGTTTTCACTTAAATTTTGATGAGCGTAAGTTGAAATAACTATTTTTGGACTGAAATTTTGACAAATAAGATGGAATAAGATCAATAAGTTATGGTTGCTGAAGAAACATAAATTTTGTTTTTATCAGAGCCCGACTGTGGCCTGATATTCTTATGACCATTCAAAACATGGTGGAAACATGCCAAAATTGTGCCAAAATAATGTAATTTTTGATTATGAATGAACGTGTGTTGTGGTGTGTCCCGTAGAGCAAAATGTCGTTGTCACTGTATTGGAATGGTCCATAATCTAATGCCTGATTGCACTATCTCTCTTAACTGAGGCTTAACGATAACTATCCCTTAAATTGACAGTTTTGCATGGAAAATGTCACTTTAAGGAATAGTTATCTCTAAGCCTCGGTTAAGAGAGACGGTGCAATCGGGCATAAGAGAGATATATTTAAGCCGGCGTTTCCATAAGCATAATATAGACCCTCAGATAGCGACTGTTTAGTGGAGTAATTTTTTTTTGTCTGGCATTTTGAGGGGTGAATGTGGCTAGTTAACTGATGAGAATATAAGTGGATTTAACGCCTGCCTCCCATCCGAAATGTCCACAGAATATTTAGCGGATTTGCTCGATTTCGAACTGTGATTACCGTCTGGCGATTTTTCAGCGTTTTTTTTACAACAAAACCTTTCATTCTTTCGATTGCCAGAGAGAAAGTAAATGCAGAAAGTTCTATACTTTTATCTTGCAAGTTTACACCCATCTCCACTTTTTTGGCCATTGGAAAGTATCTGGCATTTTTTATGAGTGAATTATTTATCAATGTGAAAAAACTGGCGCAGTAGAAAAATGGAGTGAAGAGGTTCAAGCAGGTTTTAATGTTGTTGTGGAAATTTTGTTACTATGCGTATAGATGCGAAAAAACAAGAAGGGACTTAAACACAAACGAAAATGGATTTCACACAGAAAAGCTCTTGTAGCATCAAATTTACAGTCCGAGTTAGCAGATGAGGACTAATAAGTATGTAATAATGCTTTACTTTTCAAGTCAACTCTATATTTTCAACAATTATGACAAACTGGTGACTTGAGATAAATACATGCTGTGTAAATACTATAATAAACTGTCGAGAATGGAATCTCAGTGTAAATTTTTTAGTCAACAAAATTGAGCCAAGCCAGCGCCATCTACTATATTGGAAAAATTACTATGTATATACTGGTTTTGCATCGACGCTACAGACACCTACTTTACATAGTGCTTTAAGTCATTTTTATGATAGATGGCGCCCTTTTCGTATTACTGTCCGGCTGTTCAAATTTGTTTATTCTATGGTTTATTTTTTCCCATAAGATAGATTTTGGCATTGTCAACTTTGAAACATAAACAATGCCGCTAATGCCGCTTATTGGTCGCCATTGTAAAACTCATGTTAACCTGCAGAAACACCTAATTTTGCGACCAATCAGGGTCAAGCGTTATTGTTTATGTTTCAAAGTTTTCAATGTCGAAATCTATCTTGGAAAAAAATAAAGTGTAGACTTTGGGACATTAAAGGCCGAAACCCACTAGCAACACGCAACGCCATGCTACGCCACCCCACACCATGTGACATAGCTTCACGTGGGACAGTTTGTGTGCAAATTTGTAACACGCCACGTGATGACACGCTCATTTTATTCTATAGATTTTATCTAGAAAAATTGTCAGTAGCTTTGAGTACATTAGGGAGTATAGAAGAAGTTCGTTCGTCTAGTGACTTATGGCAATTTCCATTTGTCAATCAGTGCGCTCTGAGTGTATTCGCATCTTTTTCTGTAAGCATGTAACATATAAGGATACGGATAATTTTTTTTTGCTCTGGTTGGCCAAATGGAAACCGCTATTATTAGAGTTTCTAGAAGGATGTGCTGCTGCGGCTCTGATTTTACAGACCAAAAAAAAAGAAGATTCCGGGTGCACAAAATAAACAAGAATCGAGAAAAATATGGTGCTTTTCATGTATTAATAATGATGGACTTGGAAGCAGATCGTAGTCGATACCATCAACTTCCGTATGGAGAGAGAACAATTTGATTATTTACACAATCTTGTGAAAGACAAGATTAAAAAGCAGGAATTCGTACTGCCGTACCTTTTTTATCAGAAATTCCTGCTGCATTTTTCTGTACTACTATTTGCGATGCGACAAAATATTGAATAAATACAGAAACAGATTGCAGCGGGGCTAGAGAGGCGGCCGCGGAACATCTACACGTACCAACACGCGTGGGCAGCATCTGAGGATTTGAAATCATCACAAGTCGGATAGCCTGGCGTGCCATGGCGTGGTATCCCGTGTGACAAGTGTGTACGCGGCACATGTAAATAAATGGAAGAATATACGCATACATTTTCGACACATGCCGTGGCGTGGTATAGCATGGCGTGACGTGTTGCTAATGGGTTTTCGCCTTAATGTTCGCTTAAATTAATTAATTTTTTGTTAATTAGATCAAAAGACAGTTTCTTTATCGATGGTTAAAGGCGGAAACCCATTAGCAACACGCCACGCCATGCTATAACCCGCCTTGCCATGTGACGAAAATGTATGCGTATATTCTTCCATTTATTTACATGTGCCGCGTACACACTTACCACACACCATACCACGTCATGGCACGCCACGCCACCCGACGTGTGACAATTTCAAATCCCCAGATGCTGCCCACGCGTGTTGGTACGTGTAGCTGTTCTCCGGCCGCCTCTCTAGCCCCGCCGCAAGCTGTTTCTGTATTTTTTCAATATTTTGTCGCGTCGCAAATAGTACAGAACCATATTTTTCTCGATTCCTGTTTATTTGGTGCACCCAGGATCTTGGAAATTTGCACACAAACTGTCCCACGTGAACATATGTCACAAGGCCTGGGATGGCGTAACATGGCGTGGCGTGTTGCTAGTGGGTTTCGGCCTTAAGGGTACCTATCCCTTAACATATTTATTCAAAGTTCTGATTGATGTTTAATTGAACTTGTCATTTATCTAATCAACAAGAATGGAAATAGATCCTCCAACCTATAAGGCTGAGTGACCTTATAAGGCTGTTGTTGTCAGCGACATCTAGAGAAGCGGAAAAAAGTAATTATGTGGTTTATTACCGGCAATGAGAGATCGCAGGGTCTGCGGTTGCTAAAGAAATATAAATTTTATTTTTATGAAAGCCTGACTGTGGACCAATGACATATTAACACAGATAGACATACCAGTAAACAAAATCTTGTAACGCCAACATCTAATCTAGGAGAGCAATCCACCATCGGTGTATATCCCCTTCAATTTGTTCGCCAAATGGTTACGGATTGATATTTTATCCTGTTATGACTTTTCTTCAAAAAGTTGGAGGTTCAAGACTAAAAACGACTACTGGCAACGCCGGTTCTGTAAGACAGGCGGAGACAGGTGGAGACAGGCGGAGACAGGCGGAACACACCTGCAGCGGCGGATTTAGGATTCCTTCTAGGGGGGGGCGATCCATCAGGGCCTCAGGCTCAGATAAGAAATAATAAAAAAACGACTTAAATATACAGAGTGGCAAAAAAGTCGCGTATAATACCTGTAACTTTCTAATTACCTCGTATACGAAAAAGTGACCTTAATGAAAGTTGCTCAGTAAATTAGGGACATAAAGCTTCCGTATTTTTTGCTCGGTATCCGTATCGGTATCGTACTGCGCATGTGCAGAAGCGATACGGAGGCCGAGATACCGTACGTACAACGTGACGTTACGGCCCTCTCGCGGTATCCGTATCGGTAACGTATCTTGACATTCCTGACGCATGTGTCAAATTTCAAATGAATATAACCTCCCTTTTCTTCCGGGTTGATTTAATTTGTTTAGTTTATACTTTCTTGAGTTTCTTGTGTTTAGTGCTTCTCTATCGCAAAAAAATAACAATTTTAAGGTTAGATATAAAAACGCCGAAGTTTTGAGACAAAAATGTCTAGGTTATGAAATGCGTTTACGTTTACCGGAACAGGGAGCGCTTTAACAGCCTTTTCGCTTGTCAACGTATCTAGTTGCGTTACGGATACCGATACCGATGAATTATTTCAAGTAGCTTTATGTTCCTAATATTTCCCACAATTCTACTTAAACGTATTGCCTGTGTCACTTCTGGTTTGTTTGCTATCTAGACCAACTTTCTTTTTTTCAAATAAAACACCCTGTATGTGATTGCATATTTGGATTCTACGTAAAATTCTGAGCAGATTTCATGTGATATACGATATACCCTATACCTAAGTTCAACTGTTTTGGAAATATTGACAGTTGAACATTGACTTTTTGCAACTTTGACAGGGTGTAAAACCTGAACGGTTAATTTCAGAGGAAAACCGATTTCACATTCCTATCTTAGATTTTCATAAACTATCATTTGACATCAACATTTAATTTAATCGGAGATTAAATTTAATTGGAATTATCAATTATAGATTAAATTCAAAGTTGGTGCGGATTTACGCCATCCGCAGTCGATTCGCTCCCAGCTCGCTGCTGCCAAACGTATTTAAAAGTATTAAAAATTTGGAAAAATAGCAAAAACCATATGGAATTTCATGTTGGATAATGCTTGATGAATATGTTTGTGTTTTCGTTAAAAATTTCGTTGTTGCGTCGCTCAATAGGGGGGGGCGCGCGCCCCCCGCGCCCCCCCTCTAAATCCGCCACTGCACACCTGCAATCGATTGGCATGTCAACGCACCCATCACACTTATATCATATGCGTTAGAGGCAGACAGATAGATAAACAAGTTGCGCCCGTGCGCATTTAATCATTTGGTCAAGTGAATGACAGAATTCAGAGGGGAAAACGGGTTTTGTTTACACCACTGATGCATCCCTACCCTGACCCCCCTTGAGCAGCTCACCTCTCCTGGCCCATGGGGGGTCTTGGGTCTTGTCATCACAACAAACATCAGTTTATGAATGAGATGTTGAGGTCTGTTCCTGCAGAAATCACAAACCAGTCAGAGCGAATTTCATTGGTTGGTCAGTCAGTCAGAAACAGTCAGAAAACTAATTTCAACCAATAAAATTCACTCTGACTGGTTTGTGATTTCTGCAGAAACAGACCTGTGGTGTCTATCTGTGTTAAGATGTCATTTCGGTGGCCTGATATTTGTATGACCATTCAAATATTACGCTGAGGAGCAACCGATTAGGGAATCCAAACCGCGTGGCTTTTGCCAACCAGCCGGCATTTTGAAATTTTTATTAGGTTAGAATACGGGTTGTTACATGTCATCGATGCCAGAAAAGTGTCAGACTTGAGAACATGGAGATCGAGATTTTTTTGACTTCGTAACAGCCGTCAACGAACAAAAATCCATAATCTCCAGTCATTCCAGTACAATGAACTATAGGCGAGTTTGGTTGATCCTCCGCGAGCGAAAAGATGACTGGCCGCACGTGATCAGTTCTATTACTTTAAATGAAAGATCACGTGAGTTTTTTTCAACAGTGTCATCTTTTAACTCGCAGACACAGAGGATTAACCGAACTCGCCTTATATTTCAGCATGATTCTATGAATAAAGGCCCATTTTCACGTATCCAGTAGCTGGCGTCAGTCTCACTGGCGATCCTTCTGGCATTATGTGAACACTTACTCGTGCTAGTCCAGCACTGGAGCGAATATAGAATGTTTCTATTTTTCTTGCCAGTAGGATACCGCAGTGGAAACTCAGGATTGACTGAACTCGTTTGACAACCAGGTTCCAGCGCTTTAACCCTTCATTAGGCGCGCGAGTTTTTAGAACCTCATTAGTCGCGATGTATCACAGAGATACATGTACTAAATCATTGATAAAAAAATTGAGCCATCTGATTAATTTCGGTTTTACAAATTCTATGTATTTATTCGTGTACTTAACAATCACTTTTTACTGAAAAAGAGATTCCTGAAGTAGGATTCTGTATTCGCAGTCGTTGCAGTAGTTTGGCCAACAACGCCCGGCAGCTTTACCATATTATGTGGTCTCTTCTGAGTCAGATTAGGAGGAATTTTATCTCATCGAGTTCCATCTTCACCTAAGATGAACAGCCTCTTGTACCATAATATTTATATGGAAAAAATACCAAGAAAACAGTTACAATTGAGGAGCACCGCTGGTAATAAGAAAAGTCGCGTTGTATCAGTCAGGCACAAAGCCGAGCGCACCCCTAGTTTTTTGGAAAATCCAAATTTCCAACTAGAGGTACGACCATATAATTTCGGGAAAGTGATTAGTATAGGGTACCTAAGGACTACTACAAGCCATAATATTATAGGGTTTTTCCTTTTTGATTTATTTGCAAAAATAATAGGCATGTATCTCTCAGATACACGCGCGACTAATGGAAGGTTAAGGTCGATTTATACGTATCCAGTAGCTGGCGCCAGTCTCACTGGCATGCCAATTATTGGCTGGCAAAGCACTGGACCCAGGTCGTCTACACGAGTCCAGTCAGTCGTGAGTTTTTAGTGCAGTATCCTACTGGCATCAAGAAAAATAGACACACTCTCTATTCGCTTCAGTGCTGGCGGCCAGCGCTGGATTGGCTCGAAGTGTTCACACGGTGCCAGTGCTGGAACGACAACTGGCGCCAGCTACTAGATATGTGTAAATCGGCCTTACGATTATGTCACAGATTAACCCGTCCTTATAGACCCTGAGATAGGGCCTGTTTAGTGGAGTCATTTTTTATTGTCGGGCATTTTGAGGGATGAATGTGACTAGTTAGCTGATGAGAATATAAGTGGTTTTAATTCCTGCCTCCTGTTCGAAATGTCCACAGAATGTTTCGCGGGAAAACTCGATTTCGAACTGTGATTACCGTCTGGCGATTTTTCAGCGTTATTTTCATAACAAAACCTTTCATTCTCTCGATTGCCAGACAAAAAGTAAACGCGGAAGGTTCTTCTCTTTTCTCTTGGAAGTTGACACCCATCCCCATTTTTTCAGCTATTGAAAAGCATCTGATATTTTTCATGTGTGAATTATTTATCAATGTCAATCTTTTATTTTAACGCTAGAAAATTTGAGATCATTAAAAAAAAAATCTTCATGTAAATCAATTTTTTTCTTCTGCAAATTTTCGAACGGGAGGCCGGCATTAAAATCACTTATGTTCTCATTAACTTAGTAGCCACATTCAGCTCTCAAAATGCCAGACAAAAAAAATGACTCCACTAAACAGCCCCTATCTCACAGTCTATTAGGACGGGTTAATCTGTGGATTATGTGATGGAGTATAGAGATAGAGTTCTTCAGAAGCATCATACACCGCCCCCGAAAGCATCCTGATTATATTACGCAGCTGATAAAAGGTACTGCAAACTATGCAGGTACAACCAAATCTCTTAAATAAAGCGCATGAAGAATCTAAGTATATTTTTTAGCAGCTATTTTCACGATAAAAAAAACCCACAAATTTTAATTTGAATTTTTCTGTTCATTTTCTGCTTCTGCTGTGACTTCTTCCCCTACGTCTGCTGCGACTTCTTCCCTTACGTCCTCTGCGACCTTTACGACCTGTGTGTCTACGGCGTCGGCGTCTTCTTCTAGCTTCCATTATCAGACTTGTGACGGTTTGCGGTTTTCGATAATTATTTGATGTTCTGTAATAAAATATTTGATGTATAAAAATTTCTGTGTATGAAATCACCTACCTTTGTCCAACTCCACTAGACAAAGCCTTTTCAAGTTCATTGTTCAGTCTGGCTAGCTTCTGCGGGGTTTTGGGGTATTCCTCTCTGATATATTGCTGGACATTTTTCAGGGTAATTTTCTTGGAAGCGCCAATTCTCTTTAGAGTAGAAACAACTCGTTGAGCCAACTTTCTGGTTACTTCTTTGGACACATCCTCGTCCTTTTTCACAAACGAAGGCATTGTTCTTTTCAGTTCTCACTTAAATTTTGATAAGCGTAAAGTTGAAATAATTTTTTTTTGACTGAAATTTTGACAATTAAGATCAATAAGTTACGGTGTGAGTTACGGTTGCTAAAGAGGCATAAATTTTGTTTTTATGGAAACCTGACTGTGGCCTGATATTTGTATGACCATTTAAATAATACGTCACCGATTGTTGTCAAATTTGAAGTTTTCTAGGTTAAAAACCAGTGGAAACATGCCAAGCATGCCAAAATTTTATAAATAAATGTGTACTACTAGCCTTGCTTGCATGTAGCCGACCGTTTCTTCTGAGGCAGATGATACTGCGGTCCCCAATATTTTCCAATAATCTCCGGGTACTCCCACGGGAGTTTCTGACTTAGAGATGCTTGGAAGTTTATGCTGATATATGATCGTCTTGGGGGCGCTCTATGTTAAAGCGTTTGAACTGCTTTTTTTGAGTTCCACGCTTTCGTGGGATGCGCAAGTTCATTCTGGCTCGTATCAGCCGATGGTCAGTCTAGCAGTCATTCGCATTTGTTAGAGATCTCCTAATGCATACATCATTTTGGTCTCTAGAATGAACAATTATATGATCGATTAGATGCCAGTGCTTTGATCTAAGTTGTTGCCAGGAAGTCTTGCTATATATTTGTGAGTTTTCTATGATTTTTCTGGAGAACTCGTAAATGTGTGGATGTGAGCTTATGGGTTATGGGTCCATAGTTTTTCAAATTACCAATATCTTCTTTTTCCTACATGATGAATAGAGGTGTATTTCCATAAGCTTACGTCCACACATTTATGGCTTCTTCAAGAAGATCATAGAAAACTCACAAATCCCAAGCAAGAGAATAAGCCGGTTTCTATCAAAGTTATAGGGCAAATCACCATTTTCATAGAAATATTATCTGTATAGTAGTCAAAACCTTTTTTGAATTGAGAAATGTCTCAAATACAATAAGCTTATTATCCTCATATTTGGATTATGTGGATCATGGAAAGGCGTTAGAATCAGCTCTGGTTGATTGTCGATGAGACCACCAATATATTGAAGTGATCAAAAACATCTATGAAATTTGAAAGTCATGCATCAGATTCCACGAAGAAACTGAGAAATTGAGAATAATAGATCGCGCTCTACTATTTTAATCAAGAAGATACTACCTATATCAACAAAAGGTTCGCTGATGATGTCATTCTAATTTCAAATAGATTTGACAAGGCCACACGGGTGCTGGAAAGATCCAATGTAAAATCTACAAAAGTAAGAATAAAAAAATCAATATCTTGAAAACACAATTACCTAATGGTGAAGAAGGTATCATTTTATAAATATCTAGTAGAAAAATAATTGTGTGATTCGAGACAATCAAACTGGTGCATGAGCTTCGAAGGTGGTACTTTCAGATATTTGAAACAAATTTCTAGTTCAGAAACCATCATCATAATCGCTGGGGTCTTACAACCTTCTGCCGCATCCCGCATTTCAATCGCCATTTTTTACGGTCTCTCTATTTTTTCTCGTCTATCGCTCTATCATGAGTATATTTTTTTTTAAATGTTATCGATCCATGTTAGCGCCGGTCTTCCTCTCTTCCTCTATTGAACGTAGATCAATGCTCTCTTTGGCCATCTCTCCTCCTCCATTCTTATAACATGCCCATACCATATGAGCTGTCTGGTGTCTATTCTTTCGGTGGTTCTATATTATATTCTTCCTGTTCTTCTTCGAATTTCAGCGTTTTGTATGTGCTTCAGTCTTGAAGCTCTACATGTCCGTCTGAAAAGTCTGTTTCCACTGCATCTACCTTCCTTCCAGGTCCTCTTCATAGCTAGCTATTACTACCTGATTATCGTCTGCAAAGAAAAGTGTCCTCCCACTTCTATCATTCCCATACCAGAGCACTTATTTCTCTAGTTCTTCAAGGCGTCCTGGATGAATGTCTTGAACAGTGTAGGTGATAAACAGCAACGTTGCTTCAATCCTTTTGTAATTTTAAAAGTTTCTGAAGATTGATTTCCTACTATACTCTGCGGGTTTTTATAAATGTTACTAATGGCTCTTGTGTTTTCTGTACTGAGGTTAGTCTTTGTCAAAACTTCGAGAAGTTTTCTCAAGGACTGTATTTTAGGTCTTCTCAAGGTCAAGAAATATTAGGTGTGTGGACAGATTTCGAAATTTCCTTTTTTCTATGATCTGTTGTAATGTGAAAGTGTCATCCATGCATGAATGTCCCGGGAGAAAGCCATTCTGCTATTCTATGTCTGAAAATACCATTTCAATTCTGATCAGAAATACCGATATAATTAAAAATATCCAAATCAACCAACACTGTTGAGAGTGTGCTTGAGAGAAATTCCAAATGCTGAAGGAGAACAACTGGTGTCGCATATGCTATCAGAAGGAGAACCACTTTAAAATGAACTAGGGCTCGATATGTTGCCAGAGCATCTGATGACCGATAGACCAGAAAGATTTTTGAATGCAGAAGACGGCACAAAGATATCTGAAACCACCGATAAGATAAGTAGATAATATGAAATTTATCATATCGAACTGAATAAAAATGGCGCAGCAGTGGACACAGAAACGCTGAAGATGATGAGATGATCTCCCCAATAATTTTTGTTGATTTTCTCGTTTCATGTAGTTGTCCTCATGATGGTCCGGTAGCTTCTCGGCGTTTGCTCCCAGCTGTTTTCCCGTGCATGTTTCGATCATGATTCAAGGCAGCTTCTGGTGATTCATTTTCTGTGTCGGCGGTCAGAATTGACAAAAAACATGATATCCCTAACAATATCAATAAACATTTCCATAAACAGAGGCGTTCAACGACGAATTGTGGGAAAATCATTATTCGAAGTACATGAATTATCAGCTGTCTGAAGCGTCAAAGCAAAAAATAGGACTGAAGATGAATCTTCAGAGGACTGAAATATTGAAAAATGCGAAGGAAGCAGACTTAATTCTGGACACGCTATAGGGCAAATATTAAAGTAGGTATCCAGTAAGAAAAATAAGTCTCTTGAAATTATGCCATCCCGAATAAGAAGACGACTTCAAATAAGATTAGGAGAGATGGAGGCATATGTTTAAATTTTGACAAAAAAATGGCCAAATCAAAAAGTGTTCAGTTTGTTACAAATAAATTGAAATTTGTTACTTTAAGACAAGATAACCTAGGGTCGTGGAATTAAAAAAAAAATTAAGATAACGTGTAGTCCCTTTATGTGCAAATGAAACCATTCAAAATCCAACAAACAATAATTTTATTTGATATTTAACATTGTAATATGTAACATAGAGTAACAGTAAATGTTACTGTAAAATTTTAGTGTTGACAGCTTGGTTTTTCCGGTGAATCTGATACCATATACCTTTCCAATCCGGAGCTCTTCAATGGGTGTTGGTTGGGGTTTCACTTTCGTGAACTGGAGCTCTTCGTGTTGTTTCCTGTATCCAGGAAAGTGACAGATTGCTGGGGTGACGTCACTCCAGCTGATTCAGACTCTAAACAGTGATCTTTATGTCAAGTAGGTACCCAGAAAAGAATAAGGCAGTATCAAGTTCACCAATATTTGAAATATTAAATCCCTGAATTCTGTCAAAAAGTGAGTGTCTTGCAGAGAAAATTTAAATTTAAATTAAATATAAAACTGTTGTACAGATACTTCCTTCCCACAGAATCAGGTATGAACAGCTATTGCAAGTTGAATATATATATATATATATTTTAATATAAAAAAAATACAATTAAATAATTGAAAATAATGGTTAGATTATAGTGAAATTAAAATGCTCCCTACAGATTGAGCACAGTACTGCTTTCCTGATAGTAGCTCTGGCAGGCAAAAATATGAACAAAATAAGGTAGGTTAAATATTTGGATATTCCCCCAGATAGAAAAAAAAATCCTTTCAAATTAAGGTAGCTACTATAGATACAAGATAAACCTGGGGTTGAAATTAATCAAATCCAGAATATGTCAAAATTCTTGAGATGTTCTAATTAAAACTTTTTACTGAATTTTTGACCTTTCTGGATTTCTATTAAAAAATTACACCATTTAGTCGAAATAATAATTGAGGGAGTCATACAGAAAATGGCTATTCAGGTCTCTGCCTGGATTCAATAAAGAGTTGATAGGGATGGACACACAAATTTGGTTTTCACCGACTCTATTTAGAGCAAATGGTCCAATATTCCCACACTTACAATTGATTCTGAAAACCAGAGCAGCACCACCTTTTTAAAATTCAAAAATCTGAGTTGACTTACCTCAGATAAACGTGGCACTACCAATCGACACAAAATAGAAGCCAACAATTAGATAAAAAAAATTAAAATATAATATTTATATTTCAAAAGTAGATAAGATGAAATTGATCAGGTAAAAACTTAACAATGATACGATAATATGCATTGATAGCAAAATATATTGAAAAATCTATAAGGGAGAATCCAAAAATTAGGAGGAAAAATTATTCAAAATAAAGAGGACTTGCCTGCCAGACTTCTGTCAACGAAAGAGATCGTTTTAGAAACCAAAGCCCACAGGAACACGATCCTGTGTTTTTTTATAGTTAACTGGGCAATTTTAAATATATTTTGGTCCCAACTTTTATGATTTTCATGTATATACTCTCGAATAGCTATTACAATACTTCGATTTACTCTTTCAGTATGATTGACTTTTAAAAATGTGCGCTGATAAACTGACTACCATTGTCACAGCAGAATATCTGGCAAACGCCAAAAATAAAATAGACCTGACTTTCAATAAACTTAATAATGGCTTTAGTTGTAGCTTTAGCTATTGGATGAACCAAAGTGAATTTTATAAACCAGTCAACAACAACCAAAAGATACTGAGAACTTCTTGCAGTTCGAGGATATGGACCCAGAACATCAGCTGAAATCATTTGAAATGGAAAATTGATATTACGGTATTGACCCATGAGACCAGTCTGAGGGAAATTGCTAGGCTTACAAGAAGCACACATAGTTCATTTCCGAACATATTTATAAACACTCAGCCTCATATTAGGCCAATAATAAAGTTCAGCTATCCTGTGTGATGTTTTGGATATTCCAAAATGTGCGGAGGTAGGGTCATCATGAAATTCTTTAATTCTTTCCTTTCTATGAGCAGAGGGAACAACAATTTTCCAA